AGAACATGTTGAGCCATCAAAAAAGTTAAAACACCTTCAATTGTAATGGAGGTTTTTTTTTCCATAAATTCTAGGAATGATAAATTTGTTTGTTCTTCTTCAACCATTTCTCTATATAAATCAAGTTGAGAAAGTCTAAATATTTCTTGAAGTGATTCTTTTCTTCCTCTCAAGAATGATTCCAAGTAAAAATTGACAGCAAGAAGTCCTTTACAAGGCATATCTTTTGAATTTTGAGTTTCACACCATTTACCAAGAATGAACAAATCAGTGTTATTCAAAACAAGTTGTTCACCACTTTCAAAGAGTTTGATATCAACTTGATTATTCAATGAACCTTTTCCAAGACTTTGATTAATCTTTTCAACTTTGGTTGAATCCAAACTTGCTAACCAATTACAAATCTTTGCTTCAATATTGGACATCATGTTTGAACTTGTTGTTGTTGTTGTTGTTGAAGAGGAATCATCAAGAGAATTTAGTGATGAAGCAGTAATATTGATGACTCTGAATTGAGGAGATAAATCAATTTCAAATTCCTTCATCATTTCTTGAGGGGAACAATTCAACATTGAGAAGGTGAATGGAACATGTTCATCATTTCTCCTATAAAATAATCTATCCAATGTAATCATTGGTGGAGTGAATAGAATTGTATTCGCAGGAATTGGCAATATTTTGATAGACTTTATACCTGCTGATAAGCCTGCAAAAGAGGACACGAATGGATTATTCGTCATTTTTTTGGTTGGTTGCGCAAAAATAAAGACAACGTACAAATCTTGAAAATTGATATGTAGGTTAATTAATCACGGTTTTCACGTGTTGACAGGTTCATAGAGCGCTTGCAAACGGCTTTCATTCTATCAACCATCATACAAAAAATAAGAATGCAAGTTGTTAATCTTGAGGAGAGGAATTTACCGTATTTTGGTGTTGAATCTCCCCAGAGTCTTTTGTTTGCTTCTAATGTAATTTCTGTTGGGAATTCATTTTTTATTAAACTCTTAATAGAGGATATTAAAAAGATGAATTCTGTTGTGATGAAAGACTCGCATGTTATTGTTAGTGAAGATGAAGGCTCAGTTGAAATTTTAAATTTAATTCCGCCAAACACAAATATTGCTGATGTATCGGATGCCCACATATCTATTGAAGATTGTATATTTGATTGTCCGTATAGTATTGTTCAAATCAAGACTAATGGTGGAGAGGTTGTATTGAACAATGTTGCTATCAATTGTAAACAACTTGTAATTGAGTCAACAGTTTTTGGTAAAATATTAATTGGTAGAGGAAGTCAAATACAAACCAGAGAGGGTATTGAATTGTTATGTGGTGGAGGTGATACTGTAATTGATGAAAACGTACAAATGTTTATTGGTGGAAAAATGTTTTGTTATAATATTCCATACTCACCTCTCATCAAGGATGAAGATGGAAGTATTGTTGCATTGAGTCTAAATCCTATAACTCAGCAATCAAGATTGATAGTGCTTGATAACTCTGATATCAAAGTTAATGGAATGTTTTTATCGGTTGGTTCTGCTGTAATTCTAGGTAACGCAGCAAGAATATCAACTGGACTAACATTGTTAGAATCAAAATCTGTTGTAGTAATACAAGGTGAATGGACTAGCGAAAAGATGAAAATCATTTCTCCCTTATGTACAATTAATGGAAACTTGATTTCAACTACTGATATCGTTTTCAATTCACCTTCAGTTATTTCCTTCTCAGAGATTAGATGTAAACAAGACATTATTTTCCAATCTGTTTCTAATTTTGTAAATAAGGGAAGTATTAAATCAAAAGATATTACAGGTTGGAATGATTCTAAAACAGGTTCATGTTTATTTGAAAATCATGGAGTGTTGGAACTTCAACATTTGACCGTTAAAACTGACCAAGAAGATGAAGGTCAATACAATATTTTGATAATTAATAAGGAAAATGCTAATATTTCAATTAAGGGTATAACTAAATTCATAAGTAATAAGAAAGAAGGAAGCATTTATCTTGTAAATGAAGGTACTATATATTTTATGGGAGATTTTAAAACATTACTACAAGAAGAGCTTGGTGATATTCATATTGAAAACACTGGTAAATTATCATTCTTGTCAAGCCTAAATTTATTTGGAACTAGTTTTAATTCCTATAATGAGCTGAAAGTGAATGGGAAAACTAAACTCCTCTTAAAGTGTTCATCTCTTAGTGGAAAGTGCAACTTTCTCAGTTCATTTGTGGCAACTTGTGACAATTTTACTTCTTCTGGCCAAGATTCTGTTATTAATTTTACAGATGCTATTTTCTTTATATGTTCTGACATGTCAACAATGTCCAAGTTGAACATATCTGGGTCATTGATTATCAATATGTCTACAAGTGATCCATTAAGTTTCCTTAACATGAATAATCAAGTGGTAGTTGGTAAAAATGTTACAATTTGTGCTCCAAACTTGATTTCTGATGACCTCACTTTCAGTCAAAACAAAAGTAATGAGAATAACATTATCTCTGTTATCAATACTCATTTTAATGGTATTTTACAATGTAAAGGTAATATTTATTTCCAAGTTAAAGAGGTTGGTGAATTCAACAGCTCAATATTTGCTGAATGTTCAGAGTTTAATATTGGTAAAATGAAAGGTTCTTTGACTATTTCAGGAACTGAAACTTCCTTTTCAGTAGATCAATTATTCGGTCATCTTTCTATCAATATGAAAAAGTCTGCAACTTTAAAGATTAATCAATATGCTAACAAGAAAAGTACTATTAATATTAATGCTAAAAAAGTTAATATTGAAAACAAAGGAAAACAAGAATCAAAAAAAGTGAAAATTCGTTCAGTTGAAGATATCTTGACAAAATTTAGCAAAGATGTAGAGAGTAAAGTTGATGTTGAATCAGAAACTGGAACTGTAGTACATAATGTTGGTGGAAAGGTTTCTGGATCGCATGATATTAAAGCCAATAGAGTTATAATGATTTGTGATGATGCCATTGAAGCACCAACTAAAATTAAGGCAACTGATTCAGCCAATTTAGAAGTAGCGAGAGGTATTATGTCACATGTTGAAATGGAAGGTTCAGTTGTTAATCTTAAAAACAAATCTGATCAGGATGCAAAAGTAGTTTTATACGGAAACCAAGTAACAGTAGATTCTGGTAATATTAATGACGAATTAATTGTTACTTCTTCAAGTATGACTAATCTGAGTGCCAAAGATTTGATTGGGACCATTAGATCCAATAACATTCAAAAAGAAAGTTTCTTACAAACTACTGGAGAAAGTGCGAACATTAAAATTTCCTCTAATCAAGGTAAAATGGATGTAAATTCAAAGAATTCAACTGTTAAGGTTACAGGTGATATGGATGGACATTTATTAACATCAGGTAATAACACATTTTTGGATCTTCAAGAAGTCAAAGGAGTAATAGACAGCGCCAATCTGAACACTGACATTATTGTTTCCAAAAATTTAATTGGTTCTTTAAATACATCCGGTGTTGATTCCACTATTAAGGTTACTGGAAATGTTGTTGGGTCAGTTTTGAGCTCATCTTCACAAACAAACATTAGCACAAACAATATTCTCGGAACAGTGTTAACTACAAATCAAAATAACACATTGAATGTTAGTGCCAATAATATTGGTGGAAGTATTGACTCATCATCAAAACAAACAACCATTGATGCATCTTTACTTGGGTCATCTGGTTCAATATCAACAAGAGGAGGAAACACAGTGCTATCTTTTAATAAGAGTATTGACGGAAAAGTTACTCTACATGGCAATTCAGCAAATGTGACAACAGGCATGGTAAAAGGAGAAATTGATTCCTCAGCATTGTCCACACAAATTCATGTTTTGGAAGACATGACTGGAGATATTACAACAAGTGGAGATAAATTGGTATTACAAGTTGACAGATCAATGATTGGTAATATTACAAGCAAATCTTTAGAAAATGAAGTTGAAATTGCAAATGTTGCAGGAAATATTTCTGTTGAGGGTAAACAATCATCACTTAAATTAGAAAATTTATCTGGTAATCTGACTTCAAAATCTGGTGCAACTGGAGTTGTCGTGCGAAATGATATGGGAGGTAAAATGAGCATTCAAGGAGATTCATCTCATTTGAAATTGGGAATTCTTTCAGGAAATCTAAACATAGACTCCTCTAACAATGATATGTCTATTGAAAATCTTAGTGGAACAATTACTGAAAGTTCCAATATATCCCAGGCAACAATTGAACAATTAACAGGAGATTTTAAATCCAAAGCTAAAGAGTCCACCGTTGTGGTAGAGAGAGAGTTGAGTGGTAATCTTAATGTTCAGCAGACAAAAGTACTGTTTCTGTGATTGGAAGACATTCTGGTCAAATAGAAACAGGAATGAAGTTAGTTTGGATATTAATACGGTGACAGGTATTATTTCTTCTTCCTCCAAAGACAATGACGTAAAAATTCATAATGATATGGATGGTAAATTGACAACAAAAGGTGAAAGCAGTTTAATAACCATTGAAGGAAATATGGGTGGCCATTTAGTTTCAAATTCAGAAAATGTATCAATCATAAATGTCAATAAGGAAATGAGGGGCGAAATTACCAACAATGCAAAACATTCCGAAGCAAATATTGGAAACTTGAGTGGTTCAATGAATATTGAAGCAAGAGACTTCAATCAAATTCATATTAGGAACAATTTAGATGGAAATGTAAATGTAAAATCAAAAGAATCAGATATTAACGTTGGTGGAAACTTGAGTGGAAACTTGCAATCAAAATCCACAACAACTGCTTTGAATGCTGACAAAAACATTTCTGGAAACATTGCCATTGAAGGAAAAACATCCGTTGTGAACACAAAAGCAAATTTACAAGGTTCCGTCTCTGTTTTGTCCGAGCAAAATGTCCTTAATGTGGGAGGAAATGTGAATGGAAGTGTATTTGCAAAAGCAGAGAAAACAAATGCGATTAACGTGATCGGCAAGTTGGATGGAACAGTTATTGAAGAATCTGAACACCTAAAACTTTTTGCAGGAGGAGTTTCTGGAAAAGTCTCATCGGAAAGCAAGAAATCAAGTGCTATTATTGTTGAGAAGGAAATGGCTGGTGAAATTGTCACTACAGGAGAAACATCAATTATTAAGGCAAATAATTTAAGTGGATCTGTTGAATCTTCTTCAAAAGATTTTATTGTTAAAATTGATAATAATATGAGTGGAGATATTAAGGCAAAAAATAATAACTTTAATTTAGATATTGGTAAAAACATGAGTGGAGAAGTTTCTTCATTATCAGAAAATGGAACAAGAATTTCTGTTGGGAACACAATGACAGGTTCTCTCAATTCAACTGCGAAAGAATCATCTATTTGTGTTGAGAATGACTTGACTGGATCATTGAATTTCAAATCCAATGCAACAGATTTGAAAATTAAAGGTGATTTGAAAGGATCTGTGAAAGGAGAAAGTACTAATTTTTCAAATATTGAAATGGGAAGAATGAGTGGAAATCTCACATCAAATTCAAAGCAAAACGAAATTAATATTCAAAATGATATGAGTGGTAAATTGACAACAAAAGGTATCAATAACGTAATTAATGTCGATGGTAATTCAACAGGATTCACAAATATTGAATCTGAAAATATTACAATAATGAATATTTCTAAAGATTTAATTGGTAATGTTCAAGATGAATCAAAATATTCAAAGATGGAAGTTCATTCATTAACAGGAAAAATCAATTCTAAATCAAGTCAGAGTAATATTATTGTAAAAAAAGATCTTGAAGGTCGAATATTCACAAAAGGAGACACTAATGTAACGAGTGTTGGGGGAGATTTGAAAGGAAAATTTGTTTCAAAATCAACAAATACTTCTCTCAGTGTTAGTAATGACTTATCAGGTTTGGTTGGAATTGTAGAGGGAAAACAAGCTTTTCTCAATGTAGGAGGCAATACTGGAGGTGATTTCATGGGTACTGCTTCTGATTTAACAGTTGTTAATGTTGAAGGATCAATGAAAGGAACAATGATTGTTAAATCAGACAAGTCACAAGTTGATATTGGTGAAAATTTGGATGGTTCATTAATATCAGAAGCTAAAACAACATCCCTTAATATTGAAAAAGATACAAATGGTATTATATCTCTTGAAGGAGAATCGAATATTGTCTCTGTTAAGGGAAATTTTAAAGGTGATGTATTGTTAAAGTCTGAACAAATTACAAAATTAACTGTTGAAAAAGATGTTAGTGGAAGAATATTCGATGAATCCAAATATTCAAATTATAATATTGGTAATGTTTCTGGTCAAATTCTCAATCAATCAAAAGCTATTGAAACAAATATTGAAAATGACATGAGTGGAACTATTTTCATCTCATCAGAACAAAATGTACTAAATGTTGGTGGAAATGTAAAAGGGTACCTAGAATCAGATTCTTTACTTAATTTTGTACACGTAGAAAAAGATGTGAGTGGTAAATTAAAACTTTCTGGTAATGAATCTGAGACGACTGTTGGAGGTGATGTTAGTGGTGTTGTTTTGAGTAAATCAAATACTCTAAACAAATTGGTTTCTAATTCTATAAGTGGTGATGCCCAATTATCAGGTCAAGTTTCTCAAACAATTGTCAATACTGTTTCAGGAAAATTAATAGCTGATGCTAGTTCTAAAAATTACACTACCATTTCAGAAAATCTATCAGGAACACTCATTACAAAGGGTGAACAATCTAATACAAATGTATGCAAAGATGTTACAGGAAGTATGTATCTTGCATCAAATCTAAACAGTGCTAAAGTTGGAAACAATATAGAAGGCAAAGTAATAACTTGGGGAGAAGCATCACAGATTGAAGCTGAAAATGTTCATGGTTATGTCAGTGCTCCAACAACAAATACATTTATCAATGTTCATCAAGATATTGAGGGATCACTGAAAGCAAGAGGAGAAAATACTTCTATTGTTGTTGGTGGAAATGTTAATGGTGAAATCTATTCCAAAGCAGAAAAAGAAAATAAGATCAATGTTATTGGTAATTTGAATGGTAAAATCATTGAAAAATCTGAAAATCTTCAACTCAATATTGGAAGTATTTCTGGAAATGGCTTGGTACAATCCGAATCTTCTAACTTGAATGCTGTTATTGTAGAAAAAGAAATGGCAGGTAAAGTTTTCTTAAAAGGAGACACCTCTATTCTCAAAGCAAATAGTGTGAGTGGATCTGTTGTATCTTCTTCAAAAGATTTCATTGTAAAGGTAGAAACCGATATGAGTGGAGAGGTTGCATCTTTAAATACCAACTTGAATTTCGATGTTGGAGGAAATATGAGTGGTAGTCTTCAATCAACAACAGAAACTGGAACAAGAATTAAGGTTGGACAAACCATGTCAGGTTCAATTACAAACAAATCAAAGAATTCTGACATCACAACTGGTGATATGAGTGGTCGCTTACTTTCTGTTTCCGATTACAATTTTATTACAACAAAGGACTTGTCTGGAGATTTATTACTTGGTGGTAAGAGTTCCTCAATCATAAAGGCCAACAATATATCTGGAGATGTACATAGCTTTAATGAGCAATCAACACAAGTTAATGCTAACTCTCTTTCAGGAAACCTTCATTCTGAATCAGAAATCAATACTATTAATATTGTAAACAATGTAGAGGGTGAAATATCAACAAAAGGAAAGAACACATTTGTTGATGTTGGTGGAGACGTTGAGGGAATGGTATTTGTAAAAGGAGAAAATAGTGTCATCAAGTCAACTGGAAACTTACATGGAAGAGTTATGGTGAAAGTTTCTAACATATCTAATTTAGAATTCGAAAATGTCCAAGAGGGATCATCGCTGTATTCTGAATCCAAGACTGGATATTTAACTACCAAGAATTACTCCTCTTCTTCTGCTGCATTTTTAACTGATAACGAATTCACATTAAAGGCAGAATCAGTGAATAATACTGGTACATTAACTGGCACCCAATTACTAATTCAAGCAGAAAAAGATATCAATAATAGTGGTGGTATGTCAGCAAAGAATCTGCAATTGGAAGGTCGGACCCTTAATAACTTTTCTAAAATGACGGCAGATAATATCAATATTGAAACAACATCTGTTAAAAACTCTGGAGAAATGACAAGTGGAAACCAAATATTTATTAATTCTAAATCAGTTTCCATGACGAATAATTCAATTACTAAAGCAAAAGATATAATGGTGAATGATGCAACCAGTGTAAATGTGCAAAAGGGTGCTTTTGTTCAATCCGAGAATAATCTTTCTGTAAAATCTGGTACTTTTCAAAACGAAGGATGCTTAAAAGGTGAAATAACTTATTTAGAATCAAAAACTATTTTTAATGATGGATTAATCAAAGGAAATGAAGCAACAATCATTACAGACTCTTTATATCTTGGAAAAATTAGTGATATTAAGAGTGAAAAGCTTGGTATTAAGACTGAGTTTATGCATGATACTAGTTCATCAACCATAAATGCAAATTCTATTGGTATACAGAAGACAGGATCATCAAATTTGAAATCCCAAATAACAGCAAATGATCTCTCACTTGTAACTGATGATTATAATTTAAATGAAATGGACAATCTTAAAATTAAGAAAGATTTTCATATCAATATGAAAAATGCTGATAAGGTAGTCGATAAAGAAATCAAGTTGGATAATATTGGACATTTATCAATGGAAGTTAATAGTTTCAAAAACAATTCCACAATTTCAGGTAGTACTTCTGTCTATTCAACTAATGATATTGTGAATACTGGTAAAATAGTTGGAGAGAAAGTAGTCCTCGATTCCAAAGATGGAAATATTGATCTTTTTAAAGGACAAATTCATGGAAAAGAGTTGGAACAAGTAGTAGCAGGAAAAAAAATTATTCTACAAAAGGATAAATCTTCATATGGAAAAGGAAGTACAGATAAAGATGGAAAATATATTCCAAGTAGAAAAGACATTATTTTCAAGTCTGGAGAGGGAGACATTGATTTTTCTAGAACGATAATTGATGCTTCTGGAGAAATAGAGTTAGTGGCAACACAAGGGAAGGTAATGGCAAATGGCTCACAAGTAAGAGGAGGAAATATTCTTTTCAGTGGCACAAAGGGAGTGGAGTTCAACCCAGTAGCTGGTAATCTATTTCCCAATTTTAAATTTCAAGAATACGCACCAACAAATCCTCAAAAGGGAACCATTAATTTTATTAGCACTGAAGGAAAAGTTTCAGCTCTTAATTCCAAAATAACCAGCAACCATGGAACAAACATTTATGGTCATTTGGGGGTTGATGTTTCCACTGCTGATATTAAAAGTCGACATGGTGATGTCAACATTAGCTCAAAGCTTGGAGATATAGTTGGAAGAAATGTTACTATTAATTCTGCAAAAGATACAACCATTATTTCTGAGAATGGTAATGTAGATATTAGCTTTGAAAAGAAATATTATGGAAGAAGACCAGAATTCCATGTCTCTAAAATCAATGCAAACAAATTGATTGTTGAAGGTAATAATATTGATATGCGTGCTGCAGACATTGAAACTAAAGAAGGAGGTAAAATACATGCAACTGCAAATATTACTGCTGATTCCCAAATTGAAACTTATGTGAAAAGAAGTTGGAGTAGAAGTGGATTCTTATGGTTTTCAGGAGAATCTGGATATGAAGAAGATGCAGTTCAAGCAATTACTCGTATCAAAACCAATGGTAAATTCCAAATATTAAGTGATACTGGTAATATTTCTGCCAAAGGTATACAAATCGCAGATGATAAACAAAAAGCATCGAATGTGGATATGATTGCAGAGAAAGATATCAATTTGAATGCAGTTACTGCTCGTGTTCACCATTCAGGTTCATCCTATTCATGGTTTGGTCTAAACTCATCTTCAAGAAGTGGTTACAACACTGCAGGTAATTTTGCTGTAGTACAAGCTTCTGATAATATCAATATTCGTTCAAAATCTGGAAAGATTGAAGGACAAGGTGTAATTCTCGATGCAAAGAATATTTCTGTTCGGGCTAAAAAAGGAATAGATCTTAAACCATATGAAATTGAGACATATGAACACATTCGTGAAAGAGGTTTCACCGTTGGCTTGGGAAATGCACCAAGTTTGATAAATAATAGCAAGCAAGTATTTTCCTCTGTTTCCTCAATGGGTAAGGGTGACCCTGGTGCAACTGGTTTTATAAGTGATGCAGTTGGAGCAGGACTCGGTTTATATAATATGGGTGTTGGTCTAGCTCAACTCTCACTCTGTAATTTTGACATGTTGGTTGATGAAGCTTTGAAATGTATCAGTCCAAGTATTGGTTTTTATGATAATGAGCAAACATTTTATCAAAAACAACAAGTATTAGGAAGTATAACATGTAACAACTTGGAAGTTACAGTTGATGATGATGATGGAAAAGCATCTATTGCTTCTAACATACAAGTTAGTAATAGAACAGTAATCAATGCCACTAATGTTGAATTTAATAATGCACAACATGATACTAGAACAACAAGCAGATCAACAACATTTGGTGTTCAATTAAATATTGGTTCATTGTTAACTGGAGGTACAGGTGTTCCTATTACAGTTTCAGGTTCTCACAATGAATCAAAGGGAAGTACAAAAAATAATCAAGCAGCCAATATAAACTTGGGAGATACTCACTCTGTAAGAAATTCTACAAAGATTCATAATAAGGGAAATTCAATCCATATGAATAGCACATCTGGTGGAGATGTAAAGATCATTGATGAAGATATGCAAAACCAACAAGAATCAACATCATCAGGTTTTAATTTTTCTGTGACAGGAACACTCAGCTCTATTTCATCTGCCTCAGTTGGAGCTCACTATGAAGAACATGATCATAAAGTTACAACTCAAGAAGGAAGAGCAAAAACAACAATTATTGACAAAAAAAATCATGTTGAGCAAGAAAAAATTGAAAAACAAGATTATCATCATGACTTTGGAATTGGTTTCCAATATTCTCATTCGTTTGAAGATAGTACAAGTCCAGAAATCAATTTACCTCTCAAAGTTTATGGTCAATTTGGAGATATGAAATTTAGAATAGAATTGCCTCCTCTAGATATGTGTGAAAGATTCCAAAAAGGAGCTAATATAATCACAAATGCTGTTAATTATAATTTTGATAGAGATGCTCCAAACAAGATATTCAAATTTGAAAATAAGCAAGATGAAAAAAAGGCAGAAACTGATCTGAGGAAAATGCTAAAAGAAGGAACAAGTTATGAAGAATCCCTCTTGCGAGTCCAACAAAAATATCAAGTTTATACATATGAGCAAGCTGAGAAAAGAAATAGGGAAGAAGGAAATATGGAGAAAGAAACCAAAGTCCTAATTAAGTTAATCAACAATGCCATAGAAGAATTGGAAAACACTCCCGAAAAAGATGAAAAAGAAAAAGAAGGACCTAAGGAGATCTCAGGAGACGATTTAGATGAGAAAGAAAAACCTAACCTACCAGAAATTTTAACAAAACTGTTTAAAGATATTGGAATAGGTGTTATCAGTGAAAATCAAGAACTTATCAAAGATATTTCTAAAAAAGTTGGAGGGTCCGTGTTTACAGCTATAATGAGGAAAATGCCAACTTCTTTAAAATCTAGCATCTTAGGTATAATTATGAGAACAAAAAGTGTATTCGGAGATTTGGATATTAGTTCTGCTGACTTTGAAAATTTCCTTCCTGAAAAAACACTTATGAAAACCATTAATAACTCGAAGGAAACAGTTATTCTTAATGAAAAGTCAAAAGCAAGTACTACTTCTTCAACTTCCAAAAAAGATTTTCCAAAATCTGCATTCATGAACGCTTTAAAGGGAGTTGCTGCTACTGTTTTAGAATATTCCAATACAGAAAACAGAAAAAGAACAGTTGAGGAGGATGTGATAAGAGCTTTTCTTTCTCAATCTGTAAATTTAGGATTAGAAATTGGTGAACTATGTGTGCATTCCTATTTAAAGGATGAACCAGTATTTAACACACTTAAAGAAAAGATCAATAGTAATAGTGTGTTTGATAACGCCAAATTAGGTCTTTTAGTTGGTTGTGCAGCTTT